TAATTTTAATTAATTTTAATAATAATTTCTTAAAAATGCTATTTTATTTACTGCTTTAAATCGTAATTTTAAGCTTCCCGCTTACCACTGTCTTTTGATATTTTTTTTATGAAATTGTAGGGTTTATATTTATTTTAACTAACATTTATTTTAAGCTATCTTTCCTGTCAAGCCTTTACTTTACCCTAGAATTGCCAATGCCAGAGTTATGTAAATTGTAGTAGAACGCGCATTATATTCAAATTTTAGCAGAAGTAAGTTGAGTTTAAATAGAAGGGAAACGAGTTTGTAAGTGTGCTTCTTGAAGTGTGCTTCTGAATCGCTAACGTGAAGGTTGCTAGGTAGAAATTTAAGAACCGCGCGTTTCGGCCTGTGTGCCTATCTTGGCAGTTCGCTGAACCTTTCAACTGCTTAACCAGTAAGCTCGCTGAGTCTCAGCTGTATTTTAGAACGCGGTTAGGTTAGTTACGATTTCAGAGTCTCGTAGGTAGTGAGCTAGTTGTTTATTCATCTTGTCATTAATTTTTAGTTTCACATTTCTGTTTTTGTTAAACCGCCGCGTAGTTTGTGAGCGTCAAGTGAACGCAGCTGTTATTTCTAAAGTGAAAAGTAAAATTCTGTTTTGTAATTTAATCTTTTTATTACAAGTGGTTAAAAAGGGTTTTAAACCCTTTTTACGTGTTTGTGTAAATTTACAGTTCATAGCAGTCACTACCACGGTTGCTGACAAGTTGGGGCCACACTGTACTACAAAATAAAATACTTTTATTAGTTAACTCAAAGTAGTATTTTAAAGGCATGAATATTCTCAAAATGTCTTGCATATGAACTTAATATATACATATTTTCTTTAACAAGAAACAATTATTCATATCAGGGTAGGGTCATTTGATATGTTTTAATATCAAATAGCCTTTTTGATATTTTTTTGAACTGAAATAAGCTCAAGGAAAACAAGTCGCAAGAGCGGAGTGTGTCTTGTAATTTACCATCCTTCAAAATGTATTTGCTGATTGCCTAGTTTATAAATTACGTAGATAATTTAAGGAGACTGAGCATTTTTTGAACATCTGTTTCATCAGCTTTATAACTGAAGTGTGTAGATTGAAATGTATAATATAAACACTTTTTTTAAATAAAAACAAAATATCAAACTGGGATAAATTATTAATATTTTACACATGTTAATTAAGATATAAAATTTGAATTGTTTAATGTAGGATAAAACAAGAATAATTAATATTTGACACATGTGCAGGTATGCTCAAAAGATGAAATGCATGTGAATGTTGGTTTATGAATAGATTAAAAATAATTGCATTTAAGAGCTTTAGATAAAAGTGAATTTACATGCTTGTTGTGAAAAACGAAACTTTTCTATCTCCTAAAACCTCCAAACACATCAAAGATATTTTTTTCTATATATAACTTTAATAAGATATATTCTATTAAAAGAATTTCCCCATTTTCTTATTTTCCAAATTTCGCTTCAAAGATTAAATTTGAAAAAAGTAAAAGTTTGCAGTTCCCTGTTTACTCATTTTACTATCAACTTCTTCTACATAAATTAGTTAATGAATATAGTTTCTTTTCCCAGAATATCTAACCAAGAGATGTTATGCATTTCCTTTAAGGGCGATTAGTTTTTTTAAAATTAAATCTGTGATAAAGTTGATATTTCCTGGGTACAAAACTTCAGATTGGTTTCTATTTCTTTTTAAATTTTTAGTAAATTTCATTTACATTGTTCATGTCTTTTCTTCATATCTCTGTCTCTACATATATAATAAAAGAAAGAGTCTGTGTGTGTGTCTTTCTTTCGCGTTGCGCGTAAGCTAATACACCCATGGCTACGAAATTTTGGGTACAGTGCATCTAGACAAAACCAGTGCACCTCATTTATAATTTTTTTATTTGATGTTAAAAAAAAAAAAAAAAAAAAAAAAAAAAAAAAAAAAAAAAAAAAAAAAAAAAAATCGCGTCATTTTGAGGCATAATGGGCTATGGGAAAGCGAGATTTTACTATACACACTCCATTTTCACATCGTCATGAAACGTAGTAGCACTTAGCTATTTTACGAACAAAATAAATTCCTATTTCCTAAATATTAAATACGAATTTATTTATCAAAGGGAGCTTAACACCTTTTCAAAGGATTTTCTAAAGAGTTTATTTTAAAAAATGTACAGTGTTTTATTTTTCTTTGATTTTTGGACACCTTAACTTTCATACTTGGACTGCTTTTGCAAAGAATTTTGAAAAAATGATGATATTTTGTATTTAAAAAAAAATTTTTTAATGAAGCTTCGAGTACATTCTTTCACATCTCACATCTTAAAATATGATATTTTGGCAACAATTTTCCTTTCTTATTGTTGATAGATTTTTGATGAAATCGAATTATTTTGAATAGTTTCATTCTTTTAGAAATATGGTTTGGCACAATTTTTATCGTATTTAATGTCACGTTTTAGAGATTGGCATATATCATTTTTTCATCATTTTTTATTATAATACATTTTAATTAATTTATTATTTATTTCTGTAAAATTCTGCATGTTAAAATTCGGGAAAAGTTTTTGTTTGAGTTTCTTCCTGTTATTTTTGCTTATTTCACTATTTGTAAGATATTGAAATTGCTGATTTTTTTTCTTCAACGAAAAGTTGTTAATTTTTTTTAGGATAATTAATATACTTATTTCATTAAATATTTTTTCTCTGAAAGTATAATAAAATAAAATATCATTAATTATACTTTTTTTCAGAATTTTTGTTTTTTTTTGATATTTTTATGTATTATTATGCTATTTCACCGTATTTTGAGATATTTAAAGTTTTGAGTGATTTTTAGAAGGGAAACGAGTTTCTTACATTTTTATTATTAAGCTTCCTACAACATTTTGTAAATCCAAAATATCGTAGTAAAATCGACTGAAAACTTCGCAGCTCCCCTCTGATCAGAGGCGAGGTGGGCCATTCCCCCTCGTCAAACGATTTTGTCTTTTTATTTTCGCTTTGTCCCACTAGTTTCACCACTTAGCCTTACGAACAATTGAACATTGATCCTTCTTTTGTCCTGAATATTTTTAAGGAAGTCGAATTTTACTTTTTATTTGTTTTATGTTTTTTGCGTTTTCGCGATTTATTTAGTGAATTTTTGATAAACAAACTAAGCGATTTAAAATAAATGTTTTGCCACTCAGCCAAGAATAAGATACTTGTCTTCTAAATTTAGTCAACAAACTCAGCGGTTTAAAACAAGCGTGCTGCCACTGCTTGAAATAATTTATTTTAATCTTCCACGGGCCAATGCATTGCCACTGGGCAAAGCACATGATATTTATTTTTTTAAATTTAATTTGTACGTTATTTATTAATAAACTAAATGATCGGGAAGTAATAAACGTAGTTCTTCGTCTGTATTATTATTAGTTACTGCCTAAAACCGTGAAATTACGTTAGCTGGACTCATTGAAATCATTACATATTTTTGATCTTTTATAATAATCCTATTAGAAAGTTGGTAGTGCAAGCGGCTAGTCTGTTATTAAATAATGTAGAACCTCTATTCCTCGCTATATTCATCGCACTGTGAAGAAACGGCATGCAGAGCTACCAAATTTTTAATACCCGTAGTCCTCCATCCGAATATGTTCACCTGGAAACTCGAAGTGTGAATTTCAATTTAAAAAAAAATATTTCATATTCTATGCGGAGTTAATGAATTTTTAATTAAAAAATTCAGAAAATTAGATGTGGTGTGTTGTCAATTGGCAAAGAGTAAAATATTTGTCTTTCAAATTTAATCAACAAATTGTGCAGTTTAAAAGAAATGTTTTGCCATTCGGTGAAGCATGATACATTTGGTTTTTCTTTCACATTTAATGTGTCAGTTACAGGTTAACAAAATAAGCAACTGAAGAGCAATAAATGCAGTTCTTTACCGCTACTATTATAAACTACTAGCTGGACTTATTGAAATCACTAAATATATATTTTTTGTTTGAATAACTATTTTAGATGGTACAAGTGGCTATTTGAAATAAGGAAAGATACTGACATAAAATAAAATGCATATTGAAATAAAGTACTTAGATTACTGCATTAGTAATTCAGGTAGCATATTGGCCGCTCACACAGCGCGAGGTTGTTTCAATCACCTTTAATTACAACCATACAGCCAACCAAAACCTTCAATTTTGTGCACCTACAATTTTTCACGCTGTCCGCTGACCGAATTGCTTGTTTTTGCTTAAAACTCTCATTTAAACTGTAAAACTGTCTTTTCAACTGTTTTTAACCGTATTTAGTGCTTTTCGGTTTTCCGTATTTTACAATTTTGAATGAAAATATTTTAAGTTTGATTTATTTTTGCCTTGCTACGAAGTGACAACTGAATTGATTTAATGAGAAATGAATTGCTAATGAAATTCGAGGAAATACGTTTAAATTAAGTGCAGCAAAAACTCTGTATAACTTAATAGGCCGTGGAAGGAATTAATGTGGTGTCCACGCCAGATATTTTTTCTGGAGCCATAGTCTCTCAACATTTACGACGGTGACGCTGCTCACAACTGAACACACAACGATGCAGTTATGGGGCAAGGAAAATTCTATAGCATCTCCTATGCCTCCGATTATCATGCCTGAATTCCTACTTTCTTCAAAGAAATACAGCTCTACGTTTTCAAGTGTGCTACGCTACATTTGTTAATAAGACGAGGAATTGTGCGGCGCAATTTATTTTTTTACTGCACCAGATTACGGGAGAACATTTGAAACATTCACTTCTAAAACATAAAGTACTGAAGATACGAATAATATTGTTTTAATAAATGATCCTATTATTCTCTCCAGTGCACAAATATTTCAGTAGCATTTTATGGTGTTGGCTTTAATTTGGAAACCACCAAATTCCAGTCCCTCTTCTTTGTACATGTATACTTTATTTCCGTGCTCTCATTTATAAAATCGGAAGTTAATGCTTTTTACTTTTCAGGAAAATTGCCAAAGAATTTTTCCCCGATGGAACACTCTTCCTTCAGCTGAATCTCTAAACAATAAACTGGATGGCGAAGATTACAGTTTCCCAAGGATGTTCACAGTCACCGTGGAAAAGTTGTTGGCATGGCCACAAATATTGAGTGGAAGAAAAGCCATATTTGAGTTATATGGTAAACAGCAGATATGTATTTTTCAAATATTACTTTCATTGCTTAAATATAAAAAACATAATTGTAATCCGATATATTAATGGAAATAACCTGCTCAAATCCTCTCGTTTATGATATTTGTTACTCATTGCTGTGCACAAACTGATCTTGACTACTTTTCAAATCTAGAAAATTTCCAGTAAAATTATAAGGATTCTTATTCTTATTCCTTATGTAAAAATATTACTTTCAATATAGGGTCGCGCAATGATAATTCATTCTTTACTTTATAAAGTATTTCTCCCGCCTATTTAGCATGCCTTCGTAGTGTAGTGGTCAGCACGCTCGGCGCGTATACGAGAGGCCCGTGGTTCGAGTCCCGGCGAAGACGTTGCACATTTTTCATCTCTCCTGCTTCCAATTAACTTAATAGCTGTACAACTGACGCCCGAACTAAAAGGTGGTGAATAATGATTGTTCACCACCAGGATTTGGCTATTGAGCCTCCTAAAACCCCAGCCACCCTTTAAAAGGGAGAGTATATAAGGTATTTCTCCCGCCTATTTAGCATGCTTTCGTAGTGTAGTGGTCAACACGCTCAGCGCGTATTCGAGAGGCCCGTGGTTCGAGTCCCGGCGAAGACGTTGCGTACTTTTCATCTCTCCTGCTTCCAATTAATAAAATAGCTGTAAAAGTGGCGCCCGAACTAAAAGGTGGTGAATAATGATTGTTCACCCCCAGGATTTGGCTATTGAGCCTCCTAAAACCCCAGTCGCGCTTTAAAAGGGTGTATATAAGGTATATAAGGTATTTCTCCCGCCTACGTAGCATGCCTTCGTAGTGTAGTGGTCAACACGCTCGGCGCATATTAGAGAGGCCCGTGGTTCGAGTCCCGGCAAAGGCGTTGCTCATTTTTCATCTCTCCTGCTTCCAATTAACCTAATATCTCTACAACAGAAATGAGTAAAAGGAATTTTATTAAAAATGATAAGCTTAATTAATTTCTTTGAAAGTCAGAGTAAAGTAAGATTTGAATGATTATTTCTATATATTTCTAACATGCCGTACTTTTCATTTAAGTTTTCTGCTCAGAAATCCTCTTAATTTTCCTTTCTCTGTTGTCAAAAAGTATTAGGAGAAAATATACGAGTAAATACTGTATTATTATATTTTGAACTTAAATAATTTTATACATCTTGGATGGAATTATACAAAAGATTATGTTCACTGCTTTATTTTATGCAAAGTAATTTATTTTCAATGATGATTCCTTTAATTATTATTCATTTTTCCTATAATAGTTATTCCTTTTCTCTTTTAATGATAATTTATGAAGTCATTTCAGCAAGAACAACAAATTAGAATTTTAATTTATTCCCGAAATGTGGCAAAAGAATAAATTTTGTGCTTTATGATAGGAAAAACGAAAGTATCCAATTGTATTAACATTGATTTACGACAGGATAAACTGAAAATTTCACTTAAATCTTGTTAGCCACACTAGAATAGATTAAACCAAACAATAATAATTCATTAAAATTAAAATATAAAGAATTCATGCTACGATTTAAAATAAAATGTAAAGAACAGTAAGGTTTCAGAAATTATGAGGTTCAAAATAAATCGAGGATTTTTGAATTGATGTCTTACATAATTCAAAAATCAAATTATTTTTATCCAAATACAGCTTTGGATAAAAATAAAATTAGTTATTTCAAAGTCGCTTAAGCATTATAAAAAAGAATTACTGGTGCCTTTACCGTTGATATTTTCTATACATCTATAACTCTAATTAAAAATAGCTAATATTTTTTTCATTCAAATTCCATTATTTTAGAAAGGTTCTTAATTTTTTTTTCTTTACATGGGTATATGTCGTATTTCGTGAAAAAGGCATATTCATTTAAACAATTTCTTGTCTAGTTTTGGTAATGCAAAAAGTTTAAAAAGAGCTCTATGCATCAAACGTTTTAGTATTTCAAAATGGAACTTCCACTAGTTTTGCTACAAGTAAGGAAAGATTACTGTCGATATGAATCCCTGAAAAACGAGTCTTTTCTAAGTTCGATGTGGATTAGACGTAAACGTATCTAGACAGAGTTCCAATTTAATGCTGTTGTTCCTGTCATTCCCATTTAGTTTCTGAATAAAGCGAAGTTGATTCTGTCTTGTACACAGTGAGTTAAAAGTTTAGAAATGTCTCCCCTTTTACAAAAATCAAGACTAAATGTTCGATATGAGCAGCGAGCAGGAATTACTCTTTATTTATCTTGGAAGTGCTCATCTTGAATCTTATTCAAAATTTTTAAATGGAAAAATAATGTGAAAAATAAATTTAAACTAGAGTTTTCTCAAAAACGTAAAAGTTCTATTAGTTTTTTTTATATTTTTATTTCATTTAATATCCTGAGAAATTACATAATTGGACTGTGAATGCCTTATTATTTCTATATTCCCTATCTCAGAGCTCGGCATTTAATGTCGAGGAAAAAATTATGTATTTCTTATGAACAGCAGAAAAAGATTTTGTGCTTTTGCATATGAGCTTAATAATTTTCATTTCAACATAACAAAGATGATTCCTATCATTGTGACCACATTATTAAAAAGATTCAGTAAAACGCGTTTAGTGAATGACGAGTACCGGAGCAAACATCCACAAGCTATATATACAAATAAAAACAAACGCGACATCCTTAGATTTAATGAAACTTTAAATGAAAAGTTAAATGAAAGTTTTTTCAACAGGCAATCTCATTTTACGATATAGGTTCTGCAAAAAATTCTTGTAAATCCTACATTTTTATGATGGAATTTTAGGGATTGTGCCTGTAACTAAATGTAACTTGTGGCAAATCTTTGAATAGACGTTTAAGCCATTTACAGCTATGTCTAAGATGAAACAGAACTTAAGAAGGATGTAAAAGACCATTTTATTCAGAACTGAAAAGTACTAAGTTTATAAGGTATTTCTTCCGCCTTCCTAGCGGGCCTTCGTGGTTGATTCTGCACACCGGGCCGGTATTCCAGAGGTCCGTGGTTATCCGTGGTTCGATTCCCAGCGAAGGCTTAACTTAATGTCTCTACAAAGTTAACAGAAGGGCACCTCTTGACTTACAAACCAGCCAGCATTTATGATGTAACTCAAAAGATAAAGAATTCAAATTTAAAATCAAGTTAAATCTTAAATTAGCCTAACAGCTGCACAGGAATAAATAACGCGCAAGTTGGCTCAAGTCTATGCCGGCTTATTGTGCTATTGTCTATACCGTCGACAAGAAGATGCAGCACAGAAGGCAGACTGCTATCGAAGAACTGCAACTATTAACGTGGCCTTCAGCAGGCTGAACACTCTGATTAAACAACCTAAAACTTCTCTTTAAGTACTATCTCTTTCTGCCTCATTTGAATACCGGCGAACTAAAAATTAGCATTCGGCCTGGAAATCAGAAAGAGAGAATGACAGTAAAGCTACTGAACGTGAAATAATTGGTTAGATTAAAAAAATAGATTTTTACAGATTCTGTCTGACCGTAACTGAAATGTAGTAAATTTGCTGATTTGTAGCTCTAATATGAAAGTAACTATGAAAATTAGAGATAGACATTATTCTGATTTCTGAGTTTCGGGACAGATAAAATATCATGTCTTTTTGCATTTTAAATAATTAATTTAGAATATCAGAATGATGCAAATTAAATAAATTTTTAATCAAGACTAAAAGACTTTCTTGACCTTATACACTGAGCCCTGTCATATTTTAAAATAATTGCTTAAATTGCTATATGCAAAACTTCTCATGAGATGGCAGGCCATCCCAGTGATGTTAAAGGCCATTTAACTGTGAACACATGTGCAAAATACTGTTCAATGAAGAGAGATTCGCTTCAGTTCATCTGCGGAAATTAATAGTAGTAATTAATCTTAAATTTGTATTTAAATTTTCTTAGTTTTTTAAGCTGCTGATATTTCTGATTTATCTATGATATGAGTTAATAATTTTTTATGTCATTTGAATTATATGAACTTTTACTGCTTTTTCATATCTTTACTTTCATTGTCCTTATTTCATATCTTTAATTATTTTTACTTGTTTTTCATATCTAAGTGAATTCAATGAAATATGTTTACTGATTTTCCTTGTACCCGTTGTCTGTCTGATTAGGCTGAGTTGATGCTACTAAGTATATACATACATATACTTATATATATATATATATATAATAATTTATTTCCTAAACAATATTGATTAATTGATTATATTATCTCCTAAGTTTAATTAAAGTAGAATTATTTTAAAAGAGTGAATCCATACTGGTAAGTTATATTTTGAAAGATTTTTTGAAGTAACTTGAAAGTAATATGTTAATAATGTTTTAACGGGGACTGGAATTAAATAATTATGGAGAACAAAATTTCAATTGTAAAAGGAAAAATTAAATTAGAAGCATGTAATCATTGTCATTGATCGGAAATTAGTTGACTTTTCAAGGGGAACAAACCAACTCCCGTTCAATGAACAATAATTAATAAAATAAATACGTAAATACGAAGGTGTTTCGTCTTTACTCGAGTAATAAGGTTAAGACAAACCGGCAATTCTAGTCAGGCCAAATATTTCCGCGAATAAAAGGGATTATGAGCCAATGCTGATACTCGAAGAACTTATTCTTATGAAGCATTTTAGCCAATTCAAATTTTGAGTGAAAAGCAATTTCTGTAGAGAAATCCGAAAAAACTCGAGTAACCGTCCCCGACACCCTCGTGTTTATGTTATGCATTGAGTTCTATGAGGGTGTTTTGCATTTCTATATTATTTATCTATATTGAGTTCTATATTATTTATGTTATGCATTGAGTTCTATATTATTTGTAAAAATTAAACATAGGAAATTGTCATTGTGAAATAGAATTCAAAGTATAAAGTTGAAATAAACATAGAAGATTACAAAATAAGATAAATAATGTAAACTTTGTAAAAACAAATCAAAAATAATATAAAAAATAGCGAATGTGCATGA